AATTAAAATAATATAAATATAATAGTAATAAATTCTTATTACTGCTAAATAATTTTTTTTTTAATATTTTGTCTTGAAATTTGAATTTAATGTATAAATAATAAATTTGATGCAACTTGCTATTCGCTTTTACATATATTTGCATAATAAGAGATAGGAATAAGGAACTATGTGTATGAATAGAGGGAAATTATTAATAAAATACATAAGTGTAAATTTTCCAAAATTTTTTTACTAAAGAAACATATATTTCAGTAACGAACACACACGGACAAATCAGTGGTCAAACTAAATCATACAAGATTAGGTACTTCGCTATTTCTTCTTTGCCTCTAGAAGGTTACAATGCTTTGGTTATCTTTTTTTTTTGTTTTGAATATATTATAGGATATTTACGGAGATATAATTAGTGTTCCTCTCTTTCGGCTTTTTAAGCACTGAATTACTTTATACCAAGCGGTTCGAAGTTCCCCGTTGTTTGCTCATGATCATTGTCCAACCGATCGATCGCGCGATCAATCGACGGAACGCGTCCGTTTACACTATTTCTAATCGGTATACAATAATTTGCTATCTCTATCGAGTCCATCTGTCGAGACGCATTTCGATCGCAATCGCGCGATTTTCGAACGGCCTATCTGTCGCTTCGTCGCAAAAGTTAATTCGTATTGTTGTGCTTATTGCGAATTTCCATATTTCACATGTTCTCCGCGAAATTAAATATATTTTTTTAAAGAAATCTTTACTAAACGATAAAACCTAAAATTTTTTATCCAATGATTTTTCGAATAGTTTGTTGCAAAATGTTTTACACAGCCTTTTGTTCAATTTTGCAAAATAAAGCATAGATATAATTCGAATTAATTAAATTTTCACTTGTGCATTGCTCAAGATATATATTGAAATTTAGTCACCGGTCTTATTCGATAAACCAGTCTTATTTTTAGGAGTCATTTTAATTTTAAAAAATTATGTAAAAAAGCGACAGCACGAGAAAACTAGGCGCTTGGAGACTTAAACTGAGGCCTGGATCTTTTCTATAATGATAATAGATTTCTATTTTTTTCATTTGAGTCACACAGCTCTGACGTTGATAACTTCTCTATTGTGCGTATTTCCTCTAAATTTCTTACAATTATGTATAAAATAATTTTTATAATTACAAAAGAATTATAATTAAATATTATATAACCTTTTTGTATATTTTTTTAATCAAGATGCTATAAATTACTAATTTTATTTTTTATTAAATAGATTATAGATTTACCGAGCGAGAAAGATTCTTATTGTGCAACATAAATTCATCTGTTTAAAGCGACGTCTACAATGAGATTTTTGAAGGCGTAAAACTTAAGTTCTATGCCTTAAAATCTTATTGTAGACGTCACTTTATATATAAAAATATGGTCTGTGCCATGTGACACACTTCAATTTTATTTTTTTAAATTAGATATCAGAACTAATATTGACATACATAATTCTGATTAAACTGTCACAATGGCACATTCATGATTAAAATAGTAAGAATAACAGATTTTGAGTTCCGAGAGGTATTCACAGAATTTGAATAAATGTTATTCGCAGAATTTTTAAATCGAAGTATAGAGAATTGGAAAAGTGGAAATTCGCGAGTTAAAAAAAAAGCGTTTCAAGCACTTGTACAATATCGTTGAAAAACCGTTGGCAATGTATGAACACGTCCTGCTGGCAGCGGACGGTCAAATATGTGGACGAGCACTACTCGTTCATCTTTCTTGAACGACGCGCAATTGTAAAATCGATCAGTAATATTCTCGCGGATGTTAAAAACTGTATGAAAGTGTGTAAGTACATGAATTTGTGATGCTAGTCCAACGGCAGTCTATGATTTGTATCCTGTTTTATTTATTATTACACACGTGATATGCGCGGATATGGTAAGTAAATATCTTGATATGGCAAGTAAATAACAGTAACGCACGTACTTAAACTAATACGTTTATCGAGTCTAACGACTGCGATGGTCGCATTCTTTTCTTCCGGCATTTCTCGTCGATCTCTTGTTTAATTGACGGCGATCTGCATAAGAGCGCTGGCATGACACACCGTGTCATTTTGTGCAATATCAAATAGAAGATTTGTTAAATAACTTTTACGATATCATTTAACAAGCTTGACGATATCGCGCATTTATTCTGTACGCTGCGATAAGCTCTTGTATATTTATCGACATAATGTCGACTTAAGAATTATTTTTATTGCATTTTATTACACGAGATCTCGCGATTTACGAAAATTAAGATCGATAAATGTTCAGACGAAAGAATTAAATTAAGCAATGAGAATTTACAAAATTGTAATAGAAATTTATTAAATCTTCCGATTGCTTAAAGCTCCTGTGCGGTAATAAATAAATAAGAAAAGATAAGATTGTCGTTAAAGAGTGATAAAATAACAATTCGGTGTACCTGCAGATTTGTACTTTAACGAGAGTTTTTCCTTCGTAATTATAACTTTATGCTGCATAATTCTCGGAAATGGAATCCGCAGAAATCATAGCGCAATTATTCGTTCCCTTCAATTGTACGCTTCTTATCAGGAGGATCGAAATCTAGCTTATGAAACGATTTGTATTGAAAGCATATTAACACATGATATGGAATAAAATACTCTCTATTGGAGTTCTTCTTATTCGCATCTGATTCGGGATCTCGTCAAAACTGTCATGAAATTCGCGCAAAAGCTTCGCTTATCGCCGTTTCTTTTTGTAGAATCAGGAAATAATATTTCTCTCTTGTGTTACATGTCGATTGCGAATCGTTCTTGAGATAAATACACACGCAAGCCATCGCTCTTTCTCTTCCTCTTTCTCTCTCTCCCTTTCTCTCTCGAATCGCATACGTACAAGCACACGAAACAAATGCACACCAGTACACGCGATCTTATTTATTTCGTACTAATATTATAATCGAGAATCCTCGGCAAATGCTACAGATACAAACTAGAGAGCATAAGATGTAATGTCGGTACGCGTGTACAGATTGCTGCAAAAGATAGGCTCTACAGAGTTCACAGTGAGTCTGTTTTACTCCATAAGAGATAAAAGTTTAATAATTAACAATAAACGTTTCAAAATTTTTTGGAGCAAAAGTATAAAAATATAAATCGTATTTTGTGTCGATATCGTTCGGATAGACTTGACAGAGAAATTTTGTTCTTTCTTTGATTCTTGAATGTCTGAAAGGTTTTTCCTAGATTTCTGAGATTACGAATCATCACATCTGGAATTCTTGGACCCTATCTCGGATCGTTGTATCTTTAGATTTTTAAATTCCTATCTCCATGATTTATCAAACTCCTTAACTAATTCTAAAGTGTCTGTAATGAAATTTTGAGGCGTAAAATTTAAAATTAACCATTTATAGTCGATTATTCTCTTCATCTTCGACTTTGATTAATCAGTTTTTGATGGCTTTAGGTTTTAAGTTTAAACTTTATGCATTAAAATCTCATTGTAAATATTGCTTTAGTCGCGCAAAGTTGTAGAATTTTTTACGTAGTTGTTTGTAAATCTCTCGATAAATCTTGTCATTAAAGTAATATTTTCTTGACTGTGAATTCTGCGGAGGACAATTTTTGCGGCACATTTTTAAAAATGCGTCGAAGAATGCATCACTCGATATGCACCGCGGCTAAATATACAATATTCGATAAGAATAAGATTACACAGATACGTAATCATATGTAGTAAAAAGTAAAAACAGTATGAAAAATTATTGTATTGTTTCCCATTACTTATTGTTACGTCGTGCTCCATACTCTCGAAGTTGCCAACGCGAGCTTGATTATAATTTTTTTTTTGTTATTTTCTTTGCTCTAGTGAAGTGAATATATTTATGAAAAGTTATTCCTTTCCTTCTAAGTATTTTTTGTAAAAATAAAATATCACAAAATGATAGAATGTGACCAACGCATTACAACAATCGTAAATAGAAATCGCGTTATTAAATTTGTAACATCTATTCTCTACATGTAAATTTTTCAATTTTCGTTCAAGCCAATTATATGCTGTTGTGAACTATGCCAGAGATTATTCAATAGCTTATTTTTGTTATTTTTATTATAAATATCACATTCGCAATTTTTTTATTTTCCACTCAATCTGGCGTTTGATCAATTCCG